ATAGACTTGAAGGTTAATCTTATCAATTAGTATTTATCATCAATTTTGTATTTCTTATATACTTTCTCAACACATAATAAATGTAATTATGTCTGGGTGCATTTTAATGAGTAGTACATATTTCGGGCACTGGATTTTGGTGTAAGAACTATGCATTAGGGCATTCAAAGTGCATTTGCACCGACACCTCATGATTGTACTCAAAATACTATCAACTCGTTATGATTGGATACAAATCCTTTTTCACAATCATATTTGTCTCATCAAAATATAAATACACTTTGATTTTATGATTATATTTATGTTATGATCTCGGGCACTTAGTTACTTTATATATAAGTCAAGAATTTTTGACTAATTGATTAGTAATTAATAATTGATTAATTAATTTCAATTCCTAATAAACTTATAAAAATACTCAAAATGTTAGAAGTTTTTAGTCTAAATATTACTAATATTTTCATTGGTTTTCTAACCAGTCTGACCATTATATACTGGTACATTTTATAATTTATTTATTAAAGTACATCAATTAAATTCTCAAATATTTATGATTTAGGTTATTAACCAAAAATTATGACTACTTCAAGAAAATGGGTGTCAGTGGACCAAAACCACTGCCACTTTTTGGCACATTTCTCGAGAGGTGTCTCAACCCTATGCCACACTTGGATCAGTCGTATGTCCGCAAATATGGCAACATTTTCGGGTAAGTCATCGAAAAACATTATTTTTAAACCACTAAACAACAAAACATATACCGATGCCTACCTAATACCCAACCGACAGAATATTCAACGGCACGGATCCGGTGCTGTTGATCGCCGACCCGGAGCTCATAAAACAGGTTTTGGTGAAAGACTTTCACCGATTCACGAACCGACGGGAACTCCAGACAGAGCACCCGTTCATCAATAAAAACCTGTTCAACACGACGGACGACACGTGGAAACGGTTGCGGACTATCATGTCGTCCACATTCACGTCGGGAAAGATGCGCAAAATGTATCCACTGGTGAGACAGTGCCTGCAGGAGTACCTGGATCACTTGGATGGGGTGACCAGGGATGGCGGCGCCGACATCGACGCCAAGGCTATGCACCAGAACTTCACGATGGATGTGATCGCGTCGTGCGCTTTCGCCACCAAAACTAATTCCCAATACGACCCAAACAACCCGTTTGTAGTGAATGGCAGAAACGTGTTTGTGTTCCGGGCTATCAAACTGATCCCGGCCTTTATATTTCCCAAACGTATCAATAAGTTGTTGGGAATTAGGACTCATTTGGGAGAAGAGCCTAATAATTGGATTTGTGACTTGGCTTCACATATGCTGGAGAAGCGGAGGAATGGCTTCAAAAATAACGATTTCTTGCAATTACTGATTGACGCGAAAGCCGGCGATCAGAATAATAATAAGGACGCAAATGCCGATAACCTGGAGGCACACCATGTTAACCAAGGTATGTGCTATTTGTTATAAACTGTAATGGATTAATTAATATGAATGTGCTAAAATTATTTAGGGTTATTAAGTAAGATTTGTGGGTTGACTCGAGTATTTATATAAACATTTAGTAAATTATTAGAGTCTATTATTTTTGTACAGAATTTTTAATTTCCAATAAGTATTAACTTAAAAATTAATTAACATGGTCTATTCATGTAAAAAGTTTACTTATTAATCTCAAAGCCTATAACAAAAAATATTTTATACATTTTAGTTTAAATGAATAATAAATGAAATTTGTCTCAAACTTGTAGGCGAAGAGGAGATGTTGGCCGAGAAGTCTGTACTGAACGGTAATATCGGCGCCAAATCTCTGACCGACGACGAGATCATAGCCCAGTCGTGGCTCTTCCTGATCGCCGGCTTCGAGACGACGGCCACGACATTGGGTTACATCTCATACCTGTTGGCACTGAACCCCTCGGCCCAGGAGAAGCTGTACGACGAGGTGATGGGTGCCGTCGACTCGGACGGGGAGATCAGTTACGAAGACCTCCAGAGACTGCCATATCTGGACGCATGCCTTTCCGAGACCCTCCGACTCTTCCCACCACTGGTACGACTGGAACGGATAGCCTCGGAGGACATGAAGTTAGGCACCAAAGGGGTGACCCTTAAGAAGGATCAGATGATTGAGATCCCGGTGTATCCCATACACCGGTCGGAGAAGTATTATGAAAACCCGGATGAGTTTAAGCCCGAGAGGTTTTTGCCGGAAAACAGGCATAAGTTGATTCCCTACACGTACTTCCCGTTTGGCACCGGACCCCGCAATTGTCTGGGTATGCGGTTCGCGCTCATGGAAGTTAAGCTGGCTATAAGTCATATAGTGATGAGATATCGGTTCAAGAGGTGCCCCAAAACGGAGGTTCCCATCGAGTACTTCAATCTGACGCCAATGTTAACCGCAAAGAGTATTACTCTCGGCATTGAAAAGCGATAATTATTTGACTGTTTTGTGAATATTTTTTATATTTTATAACAAAATAATTTGGGTTTATTAATTAGCATGATAATAGTTATTAATAACTTAGTTAATAAATAAATAGTTTTAATATGAAATTGATTTTGGTACCGTAATAGAAAATAACATATTTATAAACCGAAAAATATAATTTTAAAATAATTTTAATAAAAATAAATAGTTTTAATTTGTTATAAATATAATTAGACCAGGTTCTTTAAGAATTCACGTTTATATCACTGTTTATAAGCAACAGAAAAATATAATGGTATATTACGAATCAAAAGTTATTAATAACTTATTAGAAATAACACAATATTTGATAATTAAAATTGAAAAAGGTTTTAACTAATAAATAGTTGTTATCATACAGATGTTAGGTTCATATTTTAATATGGAGTGCGGGTTGCACTGGTTGTCGTGTAGATTAATTACTTATACGTTTGATATTTTAAAATGATTTTATTAAAAATAAAAATTAGGAGTGAGTACAAGAGACAGAATATTTAGTCTCATATATAATCGACAGTTAATACATAAAAAATGGTCAACCAATCTGTTTGTGCGCTAACCTGAGAGTGAACTCAATTTGAGTTTCAGTTCACAATCTCTTACAAAAAGTTTCCAAAAAATAGCCAAAAGTAGCCAATAGTACGGTCCAAACGTGAGACCAAATTCACAAACAGTTGTTCACTATTAGCCAATAGTGACTCAAAGTTTTTACAAAACTTTCAGATATTATTCAAACAATTATTTTTATGATACCTTTTACTGTATATTACTTGTATGTAGATTGGTATGTATTGTGTAATGTGTTTGCATGCAATTCATAGTATAATATTTGTTAATTTCAAATCCTAACA